TTTTTTATAAAATTTTTTAAAATTTTTTTTTTTTTTTTTTTTTTTTTTTTTTTTCTAGATATTATAGCTAGTCTCTTAAATAGCTTTATAAAAATTGATAAAAAAATTGTTTTAAAATTTTTTAAGAAAGTAGACCATAATAATGAAGGTAACTTTTTATTTGCTTATTCTTCACTTTCACTTAAATATCACTTGTTATATTACACGTAATTTTATTTAATAATTAGGAGTATTAACTAAAAGAAAATTGTATAGATTTTTCAACATAAAAACTAAAAATGAAATAAACCTCAATGATAAAAAAAAATTTAGTAAGATTTTATTAAATCTTTTTTTTTGAAAATTCATGCAAATTTATATTTAATATTTAAATTATTTTCCTTTTATGTATTTTACTATACACATATAAAAATAAATTGTTAATTATTCTTATTTGTTTTAAATTTATCGTTCTCTTTAACATAGTTGTTCTATTTTTTATTCATGTAAATATCTTTAATTCTTTGTTAATTATAAATTATTCATAAACACTTCTTATTTTTATCATTTTTTTTTTTTTTTTTTTTACAGCATTTGAGGAATTCTATGATTATATATGCAAAGAATAAATAAATTTTTTTTATTTGAAGTTACTTTATTTCATTTTCATATCCAAAAAAAAGTATTTACATTAAAATAAAAATATACAAAATATGAGAATAATGACAATTTTTTTTATAAACATGAAAAAAATTACAGTGTTTTCTTTTTTTAATTTTTATTTTCTTAATAATTAAATTAATATAAGGTTTTTTTAATTATTATTTTATTATTTCCTTTCTTTTTTCTTTTTTTTTCGTTATAAACATATTATATTATCTCTCATTTTTTCTTTTTAAGTATAATGTACAAAAAAATAAATAATTTCCACTTATTCGTTTTTCTAACTTTTTATAATTACGTGAAAAAAAAATTAATTTTTATTTAAAAGTTCCATATATTACTAATTTAATTATTTACATATTTTTTTTTAGTGATGATACCTTAATTTTTTTTATTGTTTTTTTTTTTTTTTTTAAACAAAATAAAATATTAAGAGCTGAAATGTAATGAATTAAAAAAATTAAATTTTTTCAAAAACTCTCATTTCTTATTTATTAGATAAAGTGTAAGTTGTGTGCACGAAGAAAAAAAAATTTAGAAAAAAAAATTTTATATGTAATAAAAGAAAATATAAAATATTAAAATATAATTAAAAAAAAAAAAATGTATATGCAACCACCTTTTAAAGAGATAACTTAGAATTAATGTATTTTTAAATAATAAATTTCACTGACATTTTAAAAATACAAGAGATAAAAAGCAAATATTTATATTTACTATATATAATAATATAATTATTAATTTTTTTCATAAAGTAGAATATTAAAAAAATATTAAATTTATTTAATGTTCTAGATTTTTATTTTTTCTTAAATATATATTTTCTTTAAAAAAATAAGAATACTAATTGAATTTATTTTAAGGAATCCTATTTTTACATTTATTAAAATTTTTTTTTTATAAATATTTAACATTTTATTAATATTCTAAAATGGCATTTAATAAAATTTTTGTATTATTCATATTCTTATCAATTTTCAAGTATTGTTATTCCCAAGATGTAATTGAATTAACTGATGCAAATTTTGAACAATTAACACAAATATCAACAGGGAATACTACAGGTTTTTTTTTTTTTTTTTTTTTTTTTTTTATTGAATAAAAAGAAGATATATATATTTATATATTATTATATTCTCTTTTGTCCACTTTTAATTTCTTTGAGATAAAAATAATTATAGAAGTTTTAATTAGTATGTATTTTTTTTGTGTATATTTTTTATGTATTTTTTTTTTTTTTTGAATAGGTTCATGGTTTATAAAATTTTATGCACCTTGGTGCTCTCATTGTAAAGCTATTAGTAAAACATGGACACAATTAGCCGCTGAATTAAAAGATCAAATAAATGTGGCAAAAATTGATGTTACTACAAACTCAAAAACGAGAAAAAGATTTAAAATAGAAGGCTTTCCAACTTTAATATTTTTTAAAAATGGAAAAATGTATGATTATAAAAACCACGATAGATCTTTAGAGGCATTTAAAAATTTTGCTTTGGAAAATTATAAAAATATCAAAGCATTAGATCCTCCTTTACCTCTTACTTTTATTGATATGCTTAAAGATTTTGTTTTTGAAACAATTGCAAATATAGACAGAATTTACAAATATGCCTTTCCATCTTTAGCTGTTATATCATGTATTTCATTTTTAATTGGATTATTTTTTGGTTTCATTTTACTAAGATGTTGCAGAAAAACAAAAACTACACCAACAAAAACTAGAGCATCACAAAAAAAAAAAGACTAAAATTATTAATATTTTCAATAAACGAGATATTGAAAAAAATAAAATAACAATAATGATAAATTCAAATTGATAAATGCCAGTATAAAGAAATAATTTAAGTAAAATTAAGATATATAAACGAAGTTTAAAATATACCAAAAAAAAAAAAAAAAATGAATAAAGTTGTGTTTATTGAATTGTTATATTCTAAAAGTTAAAGTAATGGATATAAAAAAATGTTAAATTCTTTATATATATACTTATATATATATATATATTTAAAATTGAAATATATTTTTTTTTTTCATTTTTTATTGTATATTTAATAATTATATATATTATATTTATATTATATATATATTTACATTTATATTTATATTGTATTATATTATATTTTTGTTTTTATTTTATTTTATTTTTTTTCTATAGAAAATGAACACAAATTTAATTAAAAAAAAAAAAAAAAAAATTAAAAATGTCATATATTTTTTTATGTATAAAAATAAAATTTCAAAATATTTTTTATTTCACATATATAGTATTTTTTTTTTTTTTTTTTTCTATGGATGATGAATACAAATTTAATAAAAAAAAAAAAAAAAAAAAAATCAGAAGTGTCGCATATTTTTTTATGTGTAAAAATAAAATTTTAAAACATCTTCGTTTTATTTTTATATATATAATATATTTTTTTTTTTTTTTTTCCTAATTTCACAAAAAATTCAATATTGAAAAACATGTTTTATGTGTATTGGTTAATATACTTTATCACGTTAAATCTCTTCTTATTTTTATTTTTGAAATACAATTAAAATTTTTTTTTCTCCCTTATTGATTAGAAAGTGTTTTTAACTTACGTAATGTTAACATTTACTCAAATTTAAAAAAAAAAAAATTATATATATTCCGTAGTTGTAAACAGCAAAATAAAAAATTAAAATAAAACAACTACAATCTTAAGTTTTGAGTAGAATTATTCTAAACATATTAAAAGTTACAATACTCATAAGCATGTATTCATAACAAAAACAGAACAATTTAAAAAAAAAGTATTATTTTTTTAAAAGTTTTTCTTAAGGAATTTTGTTTAAAAATCAAAAAAAAAATACTAATTCTAATGTTTTCCAAGCGATCTGCAAATTTTAACAAGAGAAAAAATTATAAGAAATGATATAATATTTTAAAAAATTATAATTTATTTTTGTATAAATTTAATAATAAAATATTACACAAACTTTCTATTAGATTGATAAATTTTTGAAGTCTTGTGTAATTACTTTTTTTCTTTTTTTATGTTTTAAAATAAAAATGTATGTATTATATATATTTGTATATTTCATAAATGAAAAATTTTTAATTAAATTTTAAGGTGTGATTTTTATTCATGAAGTATATTTTAACAATAAACATTTTTTCCCCCTTATTTTTAAAAAAAAAAAAAAAAAAAAAAAAAAATATATATATGATTGACTTTTTTTTTCATTTTTTTTTTTTTTTTTTTTTTTTTTTGCTATTTCAAAAGATTTTGTAAAGCATATAATATATATATATATATATGCATAAGCAAACAATGCACTATTCAAATCAGTATATTCATTTTTAAAAAATTTTCAATGGATAATTTAACTCTATTATAAAAATTAAACCTTTATATTTTTTATTTATGCTAATATAAAAATATGAATTACATATATTTTCGGAATCTGCTTGAATAATTATCATTTTCATTTATATTTTTAAATCTGTTCCTTGAGTTATATTTATTATTATCCATTTTACTTAAATCAGTAATATCCTTATTATCGTAAATATAACCTAATTTACTATTAGTTTTATCAAAATCATTTGAAAATAGGTTCATTTTATTTGAAATTGAGTAGAAATCATTAGCCATATAAGTATTATTACTATTTGTATTATTTGAGTTTATATTCATATTTAAGTTTCTATAATTGTAAAAATCATTTTTTAATAAAAAAGGATCGTAATTATTATTACTATTATTTGAAGGAAGATGATTAGAATTATGTGAATGAAAAAATTCATTTACAGTTGTATTATCATCATTTACAATTTTATTATTTTCTGAATTATTGTGTAATTTATTAAAGTTTAAAGTATTGGAAGATGGAAAAAAGTTAGGATTTTTTATATCATTTAAAATATTATTATCCTCCAAATTATATATATTTGGATTCTTATTTTGCATATGTTTTGAGTTTGTATTATTATAAGAATAAATATTGTTTGAATAATCATCTAATGCATCATCTTTTTTAAAAATATTTATTTTCTTTAAATATGACCATTTTTTTTCTGGTTCATTCTGTTTCTTATCATATATTATATTAGAAAAATTTGAATCTTTATTTATATAATAATCATTATACATATCATTTTCATTATACTTATTTGGTTTTAAATTATAAAGTATATTATTATGAGGATTATATGTAGTATTCATATTCCCAATTGGTGAAGTAAAAAAGTTTCTTGATGTACTTTTTATAGGAGTTTTATTTAAATATTCATCGTTATTTATATAATTTGTATTATCTTTATATTCATTTAATTTATTTTTATTATTATATAAATAGTTATCACCATTTTCTGATGAATATTCTTTTTCCATTAATTTACCTTTTCTTGTTAACTCTTTATACGGATTCATATATATATAAGGATAATCATTATCATTAATATTATACAAAAATATATTCTTTTGATTCTCTAATACTTTTAGTAATTTATCATCCGTTTTTTTAAAATAATCCTTCATTTTAGATATTCTATTTAAAGAATTATAAGATGAATATATAAATGAATTTTTAATTGTTGCCCATTTGATGAATAAAAAATACTCATTTTCGTTAGGCTTAGTATTGATTACATATACGTGTAATGGAAAAAAAACTTTTCTATGATTTTTAATAATATATAATAAATTATACTTAATATATCTCACTGATTTTTTCGTATTAATATAAATATAATCATTGTATATTTTCCATTCATCTTTTAAAATATGCTCTTTTTTCATAGATGAAGAATGTAATGTTTGTAGAGGATTATTCTTATAGGTTGAAGTATTTTTTAATAAATTTATGGTTTCTTCATCTAAGTATACATTTTTTCTTATTTTATATATATATACGTAATCTGTTTCAGTATCTAGAGCTATAAGATGTTTATTATCTGATTTTTCAATAGTGAAAAATCGGATACTTAAGAAATTGTTATGATCATAATCATCTGCACAACTATAATATCTTGGCAATAATATATTTATTATGTTTTCATTTTTTAAGTTATATAAATATTTTTTAACATCATTTATATAATTTATAAAAAAATTTTTCAAAGAGAAATCTTTTTTTGTGTTGTCATTTTCTAGTATATTTTCCATATTTTCATCTCCACTTTCAGGCATATATAAATTATTATTAATATCTTTAATAGTAGAAATATAGTTATTAAAATCTTTTATATTAATATATAACAATTTTTCAAAATTGAAATCTTCATCTTCTAAATTGTTGCCATTTTCTATTAGCTTTTCTAATATCTTGATTTGCTTCATATTATTTTCTATATCACTAATATTATCTTTTAAAAGATCATCTATTTCTTTATTTTTATTATTTATCATACTTTTATGAATATCAGAATTTAAATCAATAATAATAAAATTGCAATCATATTTATAAAAGTAATCATTCATTTTGCTTTTTTGTTTTTTTTTTTTCTTGAAAAAGGTTCTATCGCTTTTTTTTTTTTTTTTTTCTATTTCGCCAGTATACAAATAAATACAATTACTGTACAAGTGATACTCACAAATAGAATTAAAGTATATTGATTGATTTATAAAAAATGTTTTTGTTAATGAAAAATTGTTAAAACCTTCATTTTTTAAATTTTTTTCATATATATAAACATTTCCCTTAGAATTAAAAACAGAATATGAATTATTATTTATCCAAATAAAATTAACAAATTGAGAATTATAACAAGTATTCTTAATTTCATATATAGAAAAATAAAAGAAATTACATAAATATAATGTCTTACTTGTTAATATTAAACAAAAAAAACCATTAGGTGCGAATAAAATTTTAACTATAGACCCATTCAAAAAAATTCTTTTGTTTAATTCATATGAAAATTTTTTATTTTTTTTTGAATAATAATCTATTAACAAATCACAATGACTAATATTACTATATACAATTTTACCATATATATATTCTACTTTACCAGTATTATAACCAAGAACAAAATTATTTATTAAATTGCAATTGTTTGAATTATTATCAAAACATACACATGTAACATATTCACAATTACTATTATTTTCTTTCATTAAATAAGATGGCGAATTATATATATAATTTCTTAAATCTGATAATTTCATTAATTCTTTTTTATTGGTTTCCTTATTTTCAATATCTTTTTTATTATCCATAATGTACTCATTGCTGTTTACAGAAGAGAAATTTTGAGAAAGTTCATTTAAATCATATAAAAATTGTTTTGGATTTTCATCATTAATAACCAAATTCGGATATTTTTTTTTTATGTTTTTTAATATATTTGATACTAAAATGTCAGTATATTTTATGTGCTCTCGTTTTTCATAGCCTAAAATTAAATTGCTCACTTCTACTCTCTCATTTTTTATTTCTATATTTCCAATAACATTATTAAAATTATTTTCTAATTGTTTAAAATTGATAAATATCATTTGCACTTTACCTGAAAAAAGGATATCTTGAATTAATTCTCCTTCCTCATTTATGCTATTTTCAAATTTTTTTAAAAATTCTGAGTATTCACTATTAGAATTTACCTTCCTATCTTTATTTTCTGGATATAATTTGCTTAAAATAAAATTTTTTATTTTTTTACATTGTTCTATAAAGTTCGAACTTTTATTTTTTTCATTATTTAATATTTTATCTAACTCTTCTTCTTGATCTCTTGTTTGCTTTAATTTATAATCATAATCAAAATTATGTACAAATGGAAGAATAGAAGATAAAATAATTATACCATTATCGTTAGTATTGTAATTGCAATCTACGCAGTTATAAATAAAAAAAGGAGCAAAATATTTTTTTTTTGAAAGAAAATCCTGATCAATTAATTTTGTGTCTTCTGTTTTTTTTATGTATTTTATATATTCTTTTACATTTCTATCAAAATAATTAGTGAAAGAATAATTTTTTAAATAAGGATAATCTAAAAAGTCATAATGAAATAATTTATTTAAAAATAAAAATATGTTTTTTATGCTATGTTTTAACGAAAAAAAAATGTTAGATATATTTACTAAAATATTATCTGATACAACTACATTTTCAATTAAATTGTTTTTGTTCTCATCTGTTGTGTATTTTATTTTCATTTTTTCTATTTCTTTTTCTTCTTCTTCTGGTTCCTTTTCTTCTTTATTTATTTTTAATTTATAATATGCATTATCATTTAAGTAAACATATTCTTCATTTTCTTTTATAATATTTCGTGATAATTTTTTAGGTTTCTCCTCTATTTGGTAATAATTATTTTCTAGATCAGTGTGATTTGTTATATATTCATAAACATTTCTTTTATTAGCATGAATATAATATACAATTTCATTTACTTTCGTTAATTCATTAATATTGTTTCTTTTTAATTCTTTTTCTTTTTTTTTTTGCTCTTTTTCATTTTCATTTTTCAACTTTTTCAAATATATTAATTTATTTTCCTTTTCAAAATCATTTATTCCATTACTGTATTTGTCATATTTACTTTTCATAAAAAATCCTTTTTCATATTTTTCTTTATCAAACAGTATATCATCTTTTTTTTTTCTCACTGTTTCATTATTAAATATATAGTCAGTAGTTCCTTCTAGTTTGTGAATTCTTTTCATAAAATCATATTCCTCATGAAAATCATTCATTGTATTTTATATATTTTAATTTCTTTTTTATTTTATTTTATTTTATTTTTTTTTTTTTTTTACTTTATTTTATTCTATTTAGTAACTTTTTTTTTACTTAAATTTAAACATTTAAAATATAAAAAAAAAAAAAAAAATCTTTCAATATAATTTTCATTATTTTTATTTCAACATATTTAAATCATACTTTTTTAAATGTAATGTAATTAAAAATATTGTATCAAATAAAGGTTAAAAAGAAAAAAAAAATATATTTATAAATATAAAATTAAATGACATTTAACACAATGTTAACAATAAAAAGAAAAAGAAGAATAGTTAAAAATTCAAATATGTGTATTACTAAAATATACAATTTTTTTTTTTTTTTTTACTTTCATATATATGTATATTTGAACCTAGTTGAAAAAAATAGATGGAAAATAATAAATTAAAAAACATAATATATATATATAAAAAATTTAAAAGAATAAAATAAAAAATAAAAAAAAAAATGAAAAATAAAAAATATAACAATTATCTATTTTTTTTTTTTTTTTTTTTTTTTTTTTTTTTTTTTTTTAAAA